AAATGACTAATGAAAATATACTACACAACTACGCAAACACGCTAAGCAATAATCTTAAGTTTGAAAATGAAATTAATTATCTAGACATAACTCTATACCGGGAAAAAAACATTTTCAATATAAAACCTTACAAAAAAAGCAGCAATGTAGATAAAATTCTTAATTATAAATCGTATAGTCCTATAACAATAAAAAGAAATAATTTTATAATAGCACTTTCAAAGATATGGAACAGAACATCAAAGGCAGAAGGAAGAGAAGAAAAAAAAAAAAAAAATAAGTTAATAAATACCTTTATCTTGAACGACTACCCAAACAGATTACTAAAAATGTGGACAACTGCATATATAAAAAACATATTCAATGTTAAATATAAAAATGAGAATACTACATATACGTCATTCCCCTATATTAAAGGAACATTTGAAAAGTATAGAAACGTTTTCAGAAAACATGGTGTTATATTAGCAGCCAAACTAAAAAGTAAAATAAAAACATCATCAATATCATTTAAATTAAAATAACGAAATACTAAACAAAGCAGGAGTGGTATATGAGGTAAAATGTACATGTAAAAAAACCAGCAATATACATTGGAGAAACAAGAAGGCAACTAAGAACCAGAATAAAAGAACATGAAGCAACAATTAGATTTAATTATAATCAATCACCATGTATGTCTAAACAAAAAACAGGTTAGTTCACTATTGTGTAAATACTGTATGTGCAAATAATGGAAATTGTAATAATACTTGTAATTTGTAAAAATGGTAATTTTACCGTAATAATCACTGTAATAATCGTATTTATACAAATTTATAAAAATGTAACATCTGATGAGGGGTGCAAGTTAAACAAAAATCTTGCACCCGAAATGCTTATTAAATAAAGAATAACGAAGATAACACTCAGAAGTTTTTGTCTCTGATGACATGAGGTACAGACAAAAAAACATCGGTTAACTTCTTGAGATTTAACCTGTGAAGTCTCATCAAATTTTTGAAAAAATATTTAAAGAATTGCGTTTTAAAACAATACAAATTTTTTTTTGTTAGTTCGAGAATAAGGTAAGCATAAATTTTATATACTTCTTTGTATTTTTGCATATATACTAAATTTTATTTAAAAATATTATTTTTAATTTAGATGGCCCAATTGGTATGGATATTCTGTCTTTAATTATCTTAATATGATATTTCATTAAGTAATTTAGAAGTGATATGATTGTTATGTAATAAATGATCTTGTGTTTATGCTTCTCGTTTCTGCTAAAAAGAGACATAACAAAATTTGCTTCAAACTAACGTTCATCAAACGTTCTCGTTCTCGTCTTTTCTCACGAGAGTTACGAGACACATTTATTAATAATTTAAGTGGTTACAGTTGTAGAAAAAATGTATAAAAAACTAGATAAAATTAAATTATGGAGTATTTAAACAATAATAAAGTTATAAAACATAAATATGAGAAAATAACAAAAAAAAAAACAATATCCGCGGGGTGGCGACATCCATCACCCCACCATCCATCCTGCCCACCTTGAAATCCCAAGATTTCAAGATTACTTGAGTTTTCAGGCGATCTACATAGCTGATTGATGTTTCGAGTAAATATTCTGTCCTTTGTTTTTATATTGACAACTCTGACATGTCCATCCTTACCAGGGTGAGTTCTTATAATTCTGGCCAAAATCCACTTTGTAGGTGGTATATTCTTTTCTTTGACATGAACTAAGTCATTGTACTGCAGGTTTATTCTTTTTTCTGCCCATTTTGGTCTATTTTGTAGTTGGCTCAGGTACTCCAAATGCCAACGTTTCCAAATGTCTTGCACTATGCGCTGGAGTAACTGCCATCGCGATACTCGATTCAGCTTAATATGCCGAAGATCAGGTTCTGGTAAAAAAGTTAAGGCTTTCCCAAGAAGGAAGTGCGCTAAAGTTAATGCTTATAGTTCATTTTGATCTTCACTGATTGGTGTCAGAGGTTGCGAATTCAAACAAGCTTCAATTTGATAAAATACAGTGGTTAATTCTTCATAAGTGAGAATTTGGTTGCCCATGATTCTTCTCATATGCTTCTTAGCAAATTTGATATTTGATTCCCATAATTCGCCAAAATGTGGGGAATGAGGAGGAATAAAGTGCCAGTTTATATCTTGATTACAACTAGTTGAAATAACTTCCTGTTTAGTACTGTCTTTATTCAAAAATTGCAGTAACTCCCGAAGCTCATTGTTAGCACCGACAAAGTTTGTGCCATTGTCACTAAATATATCAGTGGGCTTATCTCTTCTTGAAGTAAACCTTCTCAAAGCTGCTATAAAAGCTGCAGTTGTCAAATCACTTACAACCTCAAGATGTACTGCTTTTGTAGCCATGCAGATAAATAACGCTAAATATGATTTCCAGTGTTTTGTTCTTCTTCCATGTGACACCTTAATAGGAAATGGTCCTGCGTAATCTATTCCAACCTTTGAAAAAGGTCGCAGTTGCTGAACACGATATTGTGGAAGGACACCCATTTGTTGACTTTCTTCCGAAGCTCGATTTCGAAAATAAGCCATACAGTCTTCAGTATACCTCTTTACTGAAGTTCGAGTATTTGGATCCAGAACAGTTGTCGAATTTCAGCTATCAAGAGATTAATGCTCGGATGAAGCAGCAACTTGTGAAAATATTGCACGATGATTTTTGTAACAGTAGTGGATATTTTGCATCAAAACTGATATTTAAGCCCACGTGACGCATAGTCTGCAGGATTATCTTTGGATTTAACGTGCTTCCAGTGTTATGAAGGAAGATAAGTCTGAATCTCACTTACTCGGTTTGCCACGAAAGTTTTCTAATTTCTAGGCTCACTTTTAATCTAAGACAAAGCTATAGTTGAATCCGACCAAGCGAAAACATTTTCTTTATTTATTTGCAATTGTTGATTCACTCGATGCATTAGCTTAGCTAAGAGTTGTACAGGTAACCCCCGTATAACACGGCACTTCTATAGCACGGATTCGCTCTAACACGGTTCGAGAATTGGTACCATCCCCCGTATAACACGGTACTTTTATAGCACGGATTCACTCTGACACGGTTCGAGAATTGGGTAAAACCCTCGTACAACAGGAAATGTAATAAATTTTTACATACTTAAGTAATAATAGTTCACGAAAATTATTATTTTCGTGAACTATTAGTACTTAAGTATGTAAATTTTCTCTTCTCGCCTTCTGTCGATACACGTGGTCCTTCTCGAAACTTGTTTCAATGTTGCCAGATCGCGACGCTTCTGCTTCTGATGTTGCCGAATGTTTTTCCCTTATTCCATACTTGCTTTATTCTTCATAAGTGCTTAGCACCATATAAGGAAATTTATAAAGACCTTTTAACTAGAAGCAAGCAATCTAAAATTACATACATTTTGCAAAAGGTAAAGCATGGATCTGAAGATAATGCAGAAAAATGCTCAGAGGATAAGGATAACTTGCCAAAAAGAAAACGCTCTCGGTTAATTAATAGTGTTTTTAGTGATGACGAAGAAAATATTGTTTAATTTATATTAATATGTATCACTTAAAAAACTTTTAATGAAGATATTTATCTTAATTATGAAAATATACTAGCATGTTTATTTTTAATTTTTGGAACCTAACCTTCCTTTTCGTATTAGTTCTTTGTTTCGTATAACACGGATTCGCATAACACGGCAATTTTTTGAAACGTAACTACCGTGTTATACGGGGGTTACCTGTATAGCACAGAGTTCTAATATAGGAAGAGTCACAACCTTCAATGGAGCTACTTTAGTCTTTGCACAGGGTATCTTGATTACTTCTCCCTGAATATGTTGCCTACTGTACACGACAGCAGCATAAGCTCGTTCAGATGCGTCAGCAATCTGAACGAGCTTATGCTGCTGTCGTGCATGCAGTTGAAGTGGATATTTTCTGTCAATGGCATGACATAGTATTTTTATTTCTGTTAATGTTTGAAGTTCAGCCCTAAAGCCTTTCCATTGTTCTGCAATGATTGTAGGTAACAATTCATTCTATGTTGTTCCAGTTGTTCAAAGGCGTTGGAGTATCATTTTGGCCTTGATTGTGACTGGTGCTAACCAACCCAATGGATCAAATAGTGGTGCAATGTCTGAAAATACAGTACGCTTTGTAGGTGGTTGATTAGAGAATTTACACAACACGAAGTAAAATACATCTTCCTTAGTGTTCCAATTAAGACCTAAGGCCTTCGTTAAGTCAGATACCTTAATGTAATGATTGTCAGTACTCTCAGATTGTTGTAAGGCTGATATCACTGTCCTGTCATTCGAGATCCACTTGCGAAGATAAAATTGTCCTTTATTTAGCATCTCTGTAAGCTGTTGACATAAATAAACTGCCTCCTGGCCTTCGTCTCTACCTGTCATTAAATCGTCCACGTAGAAGTCACGTTCAGCCACGGTCGACTCTTCAGGAAAATGTTCTCTTTCATCGATCGACAGTTGTTTCAAGGTCCTTGTAGCTAAATATGGATCAGATGTGGTACCATACGTTACTGTGTTCAGTTCATATTCTTTCACTGGCAATTCTGGTGATGATTTCCACAAAATGCGTTGCCATCTTCTATCTTCACTGTTCATAGATATCTGTCTGAACATCTTTTCTAAGTCTGCCGATATAGCAATCTTCCACGTACGGAAACGAAGTAAGATTTCAAATATATCATCTTGGATTTTAGGTCCCACACATATTTGTTCATTTAGTGATTTATTGTTCGATGACTTGGCTGAGGCCTCATAAACCACACGGAGCTTCGTGGTTTCGCTGCTTTCTCGTATGACGCAATGATGAGGTATATAGTAACACTCTTCAGTAGTTGAGACTTCAGACATGTGGTGTTTATTTTCATACTCCTTTATGAAATCATTGTATTGTGTACGAATGTACGAATCTTTTTCTAGCCTTCTTTCCAATGCCTGAAGTCGACGAAATGCCATTTGCTCGGAGTCTCCTAAAGTTGGTCTTTCTTCCTTAAAGGGAAATGAGACTGAATAGCGTCCAGTTTCTTGTCTTAGATGAGTTTTTTGAAAATGTTCTTCACATTTTGTTTCTTCTACCGACATTTTCTGTGTGGCTTCTACCTTTTCGATTTCCCAAAATTGTTTTAGTATTTTATCTGTGTTACACGTAACAAAGTTGCACATCACCTTGTCTTCAAGTTGCTGATCCACAGGACCAGAGACTACCCAACCGAACCTTGAGCTGTAAATAAGGACAGTTTGACTCCTTCACTATTGGCGTGGATGTTAAGACATCATGATAATAATCTGCCCCTAATATAATGTCTATTTCACGAGGCTTGTTGAATGCTGAGTCTGCTAAATCTATATTCTTAATATGTTTCCAGTCTGGAATGTTAACCTTTACTGCTGGGAGAATACCTGTAAGCCTGGGCAATACGAATGTGTTCATTTGTAAAGAGAACTGGTCATATATCGACTGAAGTTGTACCTTCACTATACCCTTCATAACTCCAGAATCTGTTTGACCCAGACCTATAACTTTTAATTTTCCAGTTTCTCGCGGCAATCTTGTTCTTTGTACAAACGCCTCACTAACTAATGATGACTGTGATCCATTATCTAGTAGCAGTCTGTTTGGTTCCAAACGAGTCAATCACATTAACTACTGCCGTCGCTAACAAGACAGTTTTTTGTTGAGTTTCAGATGCGTGGTGTGTAATAATCACTTCCCTGTTATACAAGAAAATGCTGCGTTTGATGCTGTAACTAGAGCGGGAGATTCGTCTTCATGTAGCATGGTGTTATGTTTCTTACGACAATGCTTGCATGTAGCTGTAGATTTACAGTCTTTCAATGAGTAATTACCCTTAAAACAGTTAAAACAGAGTCCAGCATTCTTGATAGTGACCTTATGAGTTTTCACGTTCTGTTTCTGGAACGCTGGACAGTAAAAAACATAATGCGCCTCCTTGCAAACTAGGCAACTTAAAACGGTCACATGAGCTTTGAGTGCACTTGATAGTTTTCCTATGTTTTGTTGTGTTCTTTGTTTCAACATATTGCTAACGGAAATCTCTAGAGCGCGATATCTCTGCTCCAGAAATTGCTTCAACTCATTGAATGTAGGAAATGTAGTCGTCGTAACTTTTAATTCCCACTGTTTTCTTGTTTCATTATCGAGTTTGTTGCTTAACGTATAAACCAAAATGTGATCCCAATGATCTGTCGGCAATTTTAACACTGTTAATGCTCTGACATGTTTTACAGTAGTGTCTAGTAGTCGTTTGGTTTCACTCGCCAAATCAGTCCTTGCACGTGGCTCTTGAAAAAGAGCCTTAAAATGACTGTTAATAATCTGTTAATTCATTTTCATATCTATCTTGCAGTATCTTCCATGCTTCTGTATAATTACCATCACTGACTTCAATGGAGTGTAGGAGTTGTTCAGCTTCTCCCTTTAAAACTGATTTAAGGTAATGAAGTTTTTGCGCGTTTGTTAAAGTTGCATTGTTATGCACTATTGCTGAAAATAAGTATTTTCAGCAATAGTGAACTTGATCCATTCAAAATTCGAACTTGATCCATTCAAAATTCTCTCCGACAAATTTTGGTAGTTCAATTTTTGGTAATTTTATCGCCGTGGAGTTTGCCTGTCTTCAAATGATGCATTCAACTGTCGTGGTGATGCTTGTGTTGATGTATCTGCTATTGGCGCGTTTTCGTCGATTAATGATGATAATTTGGATCGTACCTGAATATATTTTTCCTCTACTTCTTCATAATCTTTTTCTTGAGCTGTTGATTGTTCATCTGTTCCAAACACGATTATATTGTTACTCATATTAAGATTTTCTTTCCACGTATCGTCTAATAACGTGATTCTTGTGCTAAGAATATGAATAGTTGCATTTTGAGCTTCACTACCAAAGGCAAAATTGTAATGTCTTGTTATGCTTTGTTTAATAACCTTACGGTTTTCCTTTTTTGTTGCGAAATATCCATGATGAATTCTAACTTGTGATATGCTATATTAAATTAGTACGGTTTAGTTTAATAAACGAAACCTGAGACGATAGAAACTTCTACTCACTTGCTAATGTTGTACTGAACTTTGCTCGATACTCGATATTCCAACCAACGCAATATCCACGAGGTTAGGCTTAACACACTGCATCAAAAAGTCTCTTGAAAAGACGTTCCTCACTGAAAATGATTGCGATTCCTTTGTTATCGGACTTAATCCGCCTCGACGGACCAAAAAATATNCTTCTTCTTCTTCGATGGTGTTTATATGGAGATTTTAGCTCAATGTAGGCTCTTTCTCCGAGTAGACTTGTGTGTGTATATGATCGCTATGCGACCGATTAGCCGGCTGTATCGAACAGCCATACGTACGCGCGGGAAATGAATGCCTTCCGGGAGGACTTTTATGGGGAACTGGCCTTCTATTCAGTCGTTATAGGCAAGGAGAAAACCCAGAAAACTCCAAGCAGCCAGCCTGTCCGACCGTGGCGCGAACCCACGACGAACCTCCCAGTCTTTAGGGTCTGGTCACCACTACGATGAGCGGCAACGGAGACCACTCGCCCACTGGTGGGGACAGGACAAAATTTGCTTCGAACTAACGTTTATCAAACGTTCTCGTTCTCGTCTTTTCTCACGATAGTTATGAGACACGTTAATAATTTAAGTGGTTACAGTTGTAGAAAAATGTATAAAAACCTAGATAAAATTAAATTATGGAGTATTTAAACAATAATAAATTTATAAAACATAAATATGAGAAAATAACAAAAAAAAAACATTATATCCGCGGGGTGGCGACATCCATCACCCCATCATCCAATGATTCTGACAATATAAAAGTAGATGTAATTGTAAAATAAAATTATTTTACAGTTCTTTTTGTTCTAAATTAGCAAAGAAATTTGCTAATTTAAAACAGAAAGTACTTTTGTGCCTTTGAAAAAAATAATTAAATATATCCTACAGTGAAACTTTAATTTAGTGCTATCGTTTCTTCGCCTCTGAAATTGGCATTAAGTTCAGTGTTGTGCTAAACAGAAGTACAAGAAGCTATAAGAATTATATAAAAATCATAGTAATGAGATATCCTGACACGTAACATCCGCGATTACAGTTTGTGGAGTTTAGTTGCTGAGTTTACGAATATTGTGTTTCAATAATATATACAAGAAAATGAACGACAGAATAAAATTTAATAGAAACGAGCTATTATTTATTGTGACATCGTGACAATGCCGGTTTGCAATTTTTAATCGTATTATTTTAATATATTTAATTTAAATCTATGCTGTGCACCATAAATTAGACGTGTAATACCCCTGTACTGTACATCATACTTTCCATGTTAGCCACAGAATCGTACTGGTCATGTATAAAACTCCTTTCAGGTAAAAATATTTGAGTTAAATTCATTTCATTCCTGTATACTTAATCGGAGCATCTTGTTTTTAAGATTTCCACACCATGTTTTGGCTTTCACCTATCTAACTTCATTCTCGAAATAAAGGAAGGACAGACCGACAGATGACAGTGGGAGCTTATAGGTTTATAATTTTTTTCAAATTGTAGCCCAATCAAAAATTTTATGAAATAAAGAAAGTTTGAAATAATAACATCAGACTCGAGGGACCGAATGCAAAATACGATAGCGTTCTTTCAATACTAGATTCTTCTTTTTTAACAATTCGTTTAAAGTTGATACAACAGTTCACATTACATTATTGTTATATTACATAACTTTCATAACTTTCAACTCTAAAAAGACGTAGCAATACAGTACTGACTCAAATATGTAGCTTCCAGAAATCCTGTTATTTTAAAAGTGACCATTCTGAATTTGGCGCTGTAGTATAACTGTAATTCAGGTCCGTGAAGTCAGCACCTCAATTGCCTTTTTTTCAAAGTAATTGGTGCCATTCGTTTGCCCACGTTTACCCACGCTTCAAAAAAGTTATAGTTCATCGAACTTTTGGCCTTTTTACATCACAGCTCCCCAATTGCGTTATTTTCCCAAATCTTTTTGTATTGTTTGTTCGCTTGCATTATAAGAAAATTGTATGAAAATGTTTTCTCTTACACAAGCTTTTCTAGGACTTAAGCTCCAACTGTTGAAATGCTAGCGAGTATACTTTCGTATAACATTGAGTGAGTAAACTAAAGTAGAAATTAAGTCATTTGTGATCTTTCACTTTTTCTTTTAGCTTTTTTTAAATGATTATGCCATAGCCTGGCGATTTTGTTTTTGTTTTGTAAGAAATGAATACGAATTCACAATGCTGGGCTGCAATGTAATTTTTAACGTTCATATTGTTAAGCATTATATTTTTGATTAGCCTATATAAAAATTTATTATAATTTTCTGAAATACAGTAGAGCGTCGATTATCCGAATCAATTAGGGACTGGGGTTGTTCGGAAGGTCGATGTTTCGGATAACCGATTATGTACGAAAAAATATATTAATTTATCCCATCTTGACATTTTTCTCCGTTGCGTGTCGCTTCGCGTTGAATTTTCGTCGATGTTAAGTCTAACGAAGACTATTGTATCGTTAAAAATTATTTTTTTATTTTGTACAAACAAAATAAATATATGAAAAAATATAAAAACAATAAAAAATTATACTTCAGA